ATAAGGATAAGATTTTCGAACAAAACGCTGCACAGGTGACATTTTGTAGAATAAACGAGTTAACTATGCAATAACGGGAATAGTGATTGGCCAATTGAATGTCACCAGTTAGAGAGTTTACGACTCAGCTATGCCCTGATGGGTCCAGGCGCCGTCTGGATTGAATTGCATTCAATTTATTGGCGATGGTTTTCAATTCGACCCCTGGATTTGTTAATACTTAATAAGCCCAATTAAAATGATAAATTAATATTCACTCCAGTCTCGTGACCTAGTCAACTGTGTGGGTGCTTTGAATTTGGTGTCAAGCAATATTAAATAATAATGTATGGTACTCCGTCATTGTAAAGCAAGTTCGAAGCAAATTGATTAAATAGAAAGACATGGATTTTTGTTAGAACGAAATAAACATGATTTCTTTTTTTTGTGTGTGAGAAGTAGCATAAGCAAAAATATAAATATGAATATCTAAAAGATGATTTCCTTGCTGAAAAGTGAGATACCAGATCAGTAACTTAAATTTCAGTTCATATTATATTTGCAATTTATCAAAAAAGCATTAAATTCTAATAATTCTAGGGTACTTTTTCATTTTGTCGGCACAAATGTTGTCGTTATTGGTGACAACCACACACGATACACTTAAAAAATATTAATAAGTATTCTCATTTAAGTGGCTGAGTGGTAGCGTATCGCACTTGTACACCACGGGTTCGGGGTTTTATCCTCGGGATGGTCAAGGTCGACTTTGCCTTTCATTTCTTCAGTGGGTCGATAAATGAGAACCAAGATTGCTTGTGGACTAAATACTGGGGGTTTCGCTTCAGGCTGACTACCTAATCGGGACATCTATTCAAGCACCTCGGTGCCTAATGGTCATGTATACTGAGATGGACACAGTAGGCCTTGGCCCTCATGAGTTGTGCTATTGAGTTTAGTTTTGTTTTTAGTTCTCATTGGTTTTTCATCCATTGTCGACGTATTAAGAAAGAGACGTTACTAATAAGGAAACACTACGACTGGTTTTGAAAATGTGGTACTAAAGGGTTACCAGCAGGAATTATTTATTTGACGTTGGTTGTATCATTTTTGGCGACTTCATCGCGTGTGCCGATGAAACAGAAAAGTGCCAATTTTAGAAATGAATTAAACAGAAAATATGAAACAAATTTAAATAACAATTAAAAAAAATTCTTATTTGATTTAAAATCTATCCACTTTTTATTATTTATTATGTATGGATTGATTTATCAAACCTTTTATGTTACATTCTGATGTAGTCAGAAGGTTAGTAGTGACACACCCAGTGGCGTAACGTACACCCCCGCATCGCGGGGGGCAGGGTTCTAAGAGGCCCAAAGCCTGACTGACGCAAGTGCCTACCCTTTGTAAATTTCAACGTGGGGGCCCCAAATCTGACTTTGCAGGGGGGCCGTAATGTTTTCCGTTACGCCACTGGACACACCTCATCATGTTAAACCATGGCACCAAAAATTGAGGATGATATATCCTCTTCCTACTTCCTCTCCAAACGACGGGTCTTTAGCAGTACGAGACGTCGACATTAATAAAGAGTTTACCACGATCATATTATTATAAATTTTAATTATTATGTAATTATTATGAATATACAAATAATAAATAACCGTGTAAATCATGAAGTTTTATAAATTTTAAACAGGAGAAAATAATAATAATATAATAAAGGCTAGTAAGGGGCCACCCATCCGGTATAGAGGTTAGTGACACTGATTGCTTTGCCATAGGATGGGCTCGAATCCCGGAGAAGGCATGGGTGTTTGAAAATGGAGAGTTACTTTGCGGTATGGGGTTACTCTAAATAGCCTTCGAGCCACAAGTCCTCTTGTGTGGTTGGTGGAATGGGAAGAGAGGTGGGAGACCCCTGACCATCTCCAGCATTTTCTTCTTCGAAATTGGAGAGGATCTAAGCTAAATCGTATTGTCCCTTAAATGGTGCGCAATGTTAATAGTTAATTACAGGCGTACATCTTCGCCGTTTGTGGCTATGAATTTTGTGGCTCTTTCAATCTGATACCGTCAGACAGGTGATATTAGAAACAACAACAGGTTAGTAAAAAAATCCTTTAAGTAACCAATAATATACAAATGAATAGCATTTCTAAAAGAACCCCACATTTTATTTGATTTGTGAATAATATTAAAATTAATAAAGTAAACAAATTAAGTAATGATAATGTTAAATAAGATAAAATTAAATACAATAAAATGAAAATGGTGTTATGCTTAAAAAGTAAGCATACAGCTTGTTAATAGAATTAGCTATATTTATATTGGTATCAGCCAGTAGCGCACACAGGAATTTTTCAAGGGGGGCAGGGTCGAAAGTTCACCAATCTTGTATCAGGCTCCTTCTGATTTTGTCGATTTTCGGGAACAAAACACAGTAAAAAACTAATTATTTTATAAATAATTAGAAATTAATTAATAAAATTAATCATTACTAACAAATACTTAATTAAATTTTACGTACTATATACTTAGAATTATAATCAATCGGAAAAAATATCAAGGGCATTGGGGAGTCCGGATCTCTAGGACCCCCTTGTGCGCCACTGGTATCAGCTATATTTAGCATATAGCTGGAATTTGTACATCAAGTGTTGTTCGCTCACAATATTCTATGTATGTATATAGAAGATATTTTCAAAAATAAGCAATACTAAGTTGTAATAAATTTCAATCAGCAATATCCTTAGTGTTTACTGTGTGTTGCTTATATCTTACTTTATTTTAGATATCTTTTGAAAAATATGGAAAAGTTTGTTTAAATTTACATAATTTTTTAAGAAGTTATCAATCATATTCTGGTATCAATATTAATAGGTCTAGTCAAATTATTTATTTATTTATTTATTAATATTATTTGATTTTTTTATTTATTGATTACAAACGTAGAAATTTCAAAATATTGTTCTGATATCTGATATTATTCTAAATATTCTCATTTTAAAAGAAAACATATAAGTTCCGATAATCTTACATTTTAGATTCGTAAACAGTAATACTACTTTACAGAAAAAACAAAAACAACATTTGTTGTTTTTTCTGCTGCGGTACTCTCCGAATGGGAAAGTTGAGTTCTACACGGAAATTCCCATCCCAGCGTGAAATAAAATATAAATAAAAAAAAATTAACATATACCTAGAAGCTATCCCCAGGTTTACCAAATTGGTGTCAAATCTGGCTCAAAATGATATCGCCAAGGAAACATTGAAACATCGATAAGTCTCTGGAATCGACCATTTTGGAAATTATTATGAGGGAATATTCGGGACCTTTGAGACAAAGGTCAAATCAGTCGGGATAATAATCTGCTTGTGCTTTGAATACAATAAGAATATTTATAGAAAAATCTTTCAAGTGAGAGTTTTTTAATCTATATCGAGAGGTATTGTAAACATACGCAAAATCAGAGTTTTATTTTTTTTCTTTTGGTACATTTGAGTTATTAAAATAATACCTAACTTTATACCTTAACAACCCTTAGAACATTTTGGCAAATTTTAATAGATTTCTTTATCATGCGCAATGATGTTCAGAATCAAGTACAATTTTTTATATCCAAAGAAAAGAATATATTTTACAATTTATTTATGAAATCACTACATAAAATATTACTCATGTTTCCAAAAGAGAAGAACAATGTATCTTTTATATATATATATATATATATATATATATATATATATATATATATATATATATATATATATATATATATATATATATATATATATAAATTAGAATAAAAATGTATCATTAAACCTTATTTAACAATATGAGAAATATTGTTAAATTAAATTCCAAGTCTCAAAACGCTTCCTCTATTTAAATTTCAAACTCAACAAAGCGAGATTTTACATTTGATTTAACCTTTCATGATTTATTGATTTTGCCCCTGAAATTTGAATAGGATATTTAGAAATTTAGGAATATCTAAGTGTTCTATTTAAACAGAATTTACTTGTAAATTCAACCATCCTTTCAAAACTGTTTGAGTTTCATAACATTTTTATCCTCATGGGGGCGCCATAAGCTCCTGCTAAATCATTTGTTTAAAGATGCATGACTCAGAAATGATACGGTTAAAGATTTCTAAATATCATTCAATATTTATGCTTTCTGAGGCACACATTAAGGAAAGTAATCCATATTTTAATATGCTCTGGAACTTTGTGAAATAATCTTGATAAAAGATTGGGGCATATATATTTTACACTAACACTCAAATGAAAATAACTTTTGCTCTTATTGCATTTTTTCGAATACATTTTAATGCAGAATTTATTTAAAAACGTTCCTTTTTTTCAAATTCCACTATTAGTTCACTCTCTCTCTCTCTCTCTCTCTCTCTCTCTCTATATATATATATATATATATACAGTTATATATATATACAGTGGCGTACACAGGAATTTTTCAAGGGGGGGTGCGGGGTCGAAAGTTCACCATTCTTGTATCGTACTCCATTTGCTTTTGTCGATTTTCGGGAACAAAACACAGCAAAAAAACTAGTTTTTGAATAAATAATTAGCATTAATTAATAAAATTAATCATTAATAGCAAGTAATTAATTAAATTTTACGAACTATATTCTTAAAATTTTAATCAATCGGAAAAAAAATCAAGGGCTTTGGGGGGGGATCCGGACCCCCAGGGCCCCTTGTGTGCGCCACTATATATATATATATATATATATATATATATATATATATATATATATATATATATTTATATATATATATACATCTTGTTTAAATTTTCAGCCGTTAATGAAATACTTTCTATTCATCCATTCAAGTTCAAATACATTTTTCAACTTATAGTGGATGACACTTGATGTTAGTACAATTTTTTCAAATATTAATTCATTAATTAAATTCAAAAAAATAAATAAATAGTAACACACAAAAATATTAGCCCAACAGCATATTTAGAAAGGAAAACCGTTCGTTGTATCCCTGTAGTGCAATGTGTAGTGCGTTGGACTTTTAATCCAATGTCGGGGGTTCAAATCCCACCTGGGATAGTCTAACTTCTGAAAGTGTGATTTCTTTTTTTTACTTTACTATTTTATTAGAATAATTAATTTTAATGAATGAATAAATAGTAACACAAACAATAAAATTATTCAAACACTGTGTATAGAAAATAAATTTGCAAAGAAAATCCTTAATATTGTGATTTTGTAATATATGTATACACATATTTATATTAATTATAACTATTTAATAAAAAAATAGCTAAAATAAATGTTTTCCTTGTTGATCTAAGTAGGAGTTGACTTAATTTTTTTTTCATATTACTCGTGTGTGTTTATTTTATATTTATAAAAATCCAAAGTAAGAATTAATGTTTTAATGAACTTCAATTAAAACCAGATTATTAAGGTATGTGACTACCTTTCTAGCACTTTTTTTGAAATATGTAAATGTTCAACTAAATAAACACTTTTTTTTTATTTGGAATGGAGCATAAAACTAGGGATTTAAGTACAACTTCCGCAAAATTAAAAATAATTTTGGATATATTGGGAATTTCGAGTGAAATTTTAGGGAAACATTGCACTTACGGTAAGGCTTGTATTGAAGATTCTAATTACTATAGTTGAATAATATTTATACAGTACATAAAAAACATCTGTATCTATGCTTGGAATTATAATATTTGTAATACTTTTGAAATATTTTGAAATACGTCATTTTTTTATGCAAGAACTAATTTTTTTACAAGAAACTAATGTTATTTTCTCACAAGAAGTGCGATAAAATACATAAATATATACACAGAAATTAGATAATAGTAGAGACTGCAGATAAAACTAAATAAAAGAATTTCTGAGAATTTCAATTCAATATTTTTCTAAAAGAATCTTTAGTGAACTCTGCTATGAAGCAAGATAATGAAAAATATAGTTCCTCACAAAATGCATTTCGAGATTTTAATATAGTATAAAAAATTATCTACTAATTGTACATTTTTTAAACTCACCATATTTCTAGGTCAAGATCTCTTTACCTTCACGTGTAGCTGAACAGTGCGACGTTAATATTCACTCACTCACTCACTCTTTAGCTTCATGTTTAAATAATTTGGACTTTTTTAACCTTTTGATGTTTTCTGGACAGTTTTAATGACTATAACAATTGTCGTTTTCAGTGAAACTTTGATGAAAAATTGCAGTTACGCAAAATTCTGATGAATGTATTCAAATAATTTTTATACATTACGTGTATAATATCTTTATATGTGTTAGAAATTAAAAGGTCTGAAATACTTTTGAAAGTTTTTTTAAATATGCCAAATTTTATACAAAAACACAATGTTTTAAAAAATAATGATTTTTTTCATAAAAAAAAGCAATAAAGCGCATAAATATATACACATATATTAGATTTTGATTCATAACACAGATAGAACTAAATAAAATATGTTTCGAAAATTTCAGTTCAATATCTTAAAAATATTTTGTGTATGGATTTGCTTCCGGTATAGTAAACTCCATTTCAGGTTTACTAATTATGCAATAACTTTGCTTCTAGATATCGTAGAAACAAAAATAGAGTGTTTCTGAAATGTTAAATGTATGGGCTATAAAATAAAAGGATAAAAGAAATTTCAAAAACTTTCATCAAAATGGCGGGTATTGGGTAGTCACATACATTAAAACTATCCTTCAACAATATGCGCGTCAATTATGCATAAAATATTCTTATTCAAAAAAAAAAAATTAAATCCTTGAAGAAAGAGTTTCACATTGTTACGTTACTTCATCTATGTTTCATACACAAAAGAATGATCACAATTTTATCTCTCTGTATGTATGAAAAAATTATTCGCGATCCTTGTAATAAATTTATTAGGTAGTTTCGCAACAATGCCAACATTCAAGAGATAGCTCGCCAAGTTGGCGATTCCGATTTCGAATGTGTCGTACGAGCTGGATTGGCAATCATGTTCTTCGTTTCAATGGCGATTTATCCATTAGGTCAGCGTTTCTCAAAGTGTGGGGCGCGCCCCCCTTAGGGGGCGTGTCAACTCTACAAGAGGGGCGTGAGCATATTGAAAAGTCGAGAACAAAAGATTATTTTAAAAAATTATTAATTTACTGAAAGTAAATAAAATACATGCTGACATAATAAAAATAAAATACACATCTACACTCATATATTACGCTTATAAATATATCCATGCTACACAATGTATTTTATAATTAATTTAACAATACTAAGTTAAAAACAAGTTTACTAATTACCAGTGACCCCACATGGGCTTGTCATATATATAATTTAAAATAAAAATTAACACTTATCTTGATAATTTTTGTACGGTTTATAATTAAACCTTGACTGCCGATTAAAAGTTTCGTGATTCTCTTCCAAACGCCAACCGTATATGTATACGTCTGAAGAAATAAATGTTTTGGCTTTGCAAGATGTTTATATACATGGGGAGGGGGGGATCTAAAAGGTTAAAGTCGTATCGTAGTTTTAACGTCAAAGTATAGTGTTGTTGAATTCAGTACATTGTTATTGTATGGGGGGGGGGCACAATGAAAATTATGATTGAATATTGAGTCACTAGTATTGCAACCTTGAGAAGCACTGCATTAGGTGCTTGGGGTGGGAGCTCAGGGGCCCGAAGCCCAAATAAGCTGGACTTAACTAGATGTGCAGGTTTTAAATATCGACCCTCTAGTGCCAAGGGAGCCCATTGATCTTCTACGCTGAGAGCCTGAAATGAGCTTTAATCGACACTGCTTCATTTCCCATAATGTCACCAAATATGTTTGCTATACTACATAATTGAAAGCTCTCGCAGAAAAATATCGCAATGATTACTTGAACTGGAATCGTTGCGAGAGAAGAAAACCGCTGTCTCATACAAAGACTTACTAATAATCAACGGAAAATAAAAATACTTAACTTTACTAGCAAGGGCTGTAGGTTTTTGGAAATGTGAGGACTTTATCAATGAAGTGTTGCACGATGCCGCTTCAGTAATGAATTTAACTAAAGAGGAGTGGCAAGAATGAATTTTACGAAAATAGACTCAAATAAATAAAACTACATAATTCATGTAAATCTCAGTTTTATAATTTGAGCAATGAGTATGAACAGTTGTATAATTTGTACAAATTTATCCACCAATAGGTCCCAACCCTCAGTTTCAGATTCTTTGCAAGTTATAGAATAAATGTATTCTACTTATTTATATATTTTGTTATTATGATAAATATATATGTATGTTACAGAATCCATTAAGCTTTTACAGCTTAAATGATAAGAAACTTTTGTAACGAGTCGCAACTGTAACTGTATCTTTTAATTCTATTCTGTAAACATATAAGAAATATTGCAAATTTCTTCAATTGCATTCATAAATATCTCAAATAAGTGTACCAGTGTACTGTATACATAAATATAAGAAGAATGTGTGTTTAATATTACAAACTTACCAATTGATATAACAATTAATTTTTACATTTAAGCATGAATTGAAACATTTTAACTCTTTCTAAATAGGATTCAGGTCATCTTTTTCATTCATTTCATTAGGGATTTATTTTTTAATTAAGTAGCATATAAAAATTCTTGAAAAAATTTTTTAAATCCGAACAAGTGATTTCTTCTTTGCATTGACGGAATTAATAAAAATAGGAATAATTATTTAATTCTTTTTTTAATAAACTACATTCACAGTAAAATTAGCTAAGAAACTCATGAACTGAGCTGCAAAATGTGAAATAAATTGTAAAGAATTAAGGTTAAACTGAGATTTTTTTACGAAATAAAAAAGTAATTAATCCGATTGAATTTGAACATAATGAGCTGAATTAAAAACAATGTTAATTAGAATCTCTTTTGGATACTTAATGAAGCATAATTCTGTAGAATCTGTTTTGATTTTCATTTCTAAATTTACATCTTTTTTCAACTAATTCATGTGAACGCTTGCGAGGGAAAAAAAATAATTTTCTTGTTTTCATAATCCGATTCTGCACGATTAATATCTACAAAATAATTTTTTTTAGGAGGAAGTACTAAGTAATTTTTTAACTCATAAAAACCTGTAGCAGAACTTATTTTAAAATAATTCCAAAAAGTGTAGTTTTAAAACAGATAGTTATTAAAAGATTTTTAAAAAATATGTATCTACTGCCATTTCTTACTCCTCAGTAGAAGAACTAGTTATTTGAAAGAAATATGAGGTAATTAGTTTTTTTAAAAAATCGTTTAAGTTGGAAAGAAACTTATTTTTTAAAAAATACTGTAATTTTTTTATATAAATTGGTAATAAATTCCAAAATAAGTTACAATTACACTTAAAAGACAGTGAATTTCGGTAGTACTTTTAGAAGTTATATTTGTGAAAGTAACAAATAATTTGTATGAGTGTGTGCGTTTGTGATTAAAATAACTTTCAAGACGAAATTTTAAAATGTCAGTGTGTCGAGATCGAGGCATATCAAGCATATAAATCAACACACCTTATTCCTGTACAATGTATGATACACCATGGGCTCAGTGTATCATCTCTTCATCATCCACGCGACCTAAGTTTCAGGGGATAAAAGATTGACCACCAAACTCTTCCATAATAAAATTAGTTTATTATGATCTCAATTTATATTCAGCAAAACAACACTAGTCTAGGAGGCTTATGATCAGGAGTGATGAGACATAAAGCGTAATTCTAAAAAAAGCGCAATAAACCACCGAATCTATATTTATGATTTCCTAACTTACTAGAATCCGCTCTAGTCTTAAAGCTTAATCTAAACTATTTTACCGCTATTCCACGGTGAACAGCTACAGTCCTTATATCGTCAATGCAATCCTTGATCCCACTTGATCCGCAAATGGATAATCTTCTAGTTTCCAACTTCACTTAGAACTCTCCTAGAATTTCCCTGGAACTATTAGACCTCCTTATTAGAACTACAGGAGCCTCCTCTTAGAACTCTTAGAACCCTTTGCGAATACTGAAGCTCCACAATATATACATATTTCTAATCTACATAATTGC